GAAAGTTGATGTATTCCCTCAGCGACCAGCACGGATCAGCTCCAAGCATGACAAAGCGATATCGTCCTCTTTTGGAAGGCCAAACAAAGTAGTTTCGCTTTCACAACGAAGCACACAGCGCCTTCACGACATGGCGGCGGCGGCAACAACAATACTACAGCGAGAATAAAAGTTACTCCTTCTTTCTTTGAAAGAAGATCAAATCTTCCCAGATAGTGACGTAGGTATGTGGGGGCGTGTTAGATCGAGCCGTTTTAGGCAGGCGTGGCTGACTCTTAACTTTTATAAAGAATATCTCTTAGGATTTGAGACTTTAGTCTTTGCAACTTTACAGATTTTCTTTATGCACCAAGAGCTTGTAACACTCCAAAGAGAAAGGAAAACTTGAAATCGCATCATAGACTAATATAGTGAAAAATTATCACACTTTCAAATAGCGGTTTTATTTTAATATATTTAAAATGTGAATTTTCATCAGCCATTACTCCAGTCTTCAGTGTCACATTGATACTTCACAGATCATTCTAATATGCTGATTTGCTGCTCAAGAAACCTTTCTTATTATCATCACTGGTGAAAACAGGTGTGATGATTAATACTTTTGTGGAGCCAGTGATACATTTTTCAGGATTCTTTTTGGAATAGAAAGTTTTCTTTAAAATAATGATTAAATTATGAATAAAAAAACAACTGACACCAAACTTTTGAACAGTAGTGTATGTGTCTATGTAGGCACCTTATTAAGATTTGAAACAAAGTCAAACATACAGAGCCATATAATAAATAAGAGGCTTGAGGATCACCTTTTTCCAGTCATCAGGAGTCATGATCTTCTGCTGATCAGCTGGCACCAGGTCTTTCAGCATTCTAGGGATCATGACAAACTGTGATTTATTCGTGTCAACCTGAACACGCAACAGCAGTCCTGCCAGACTGATCATTTCCTCTTTAGATACATTATGGTAACCCCGCAAATACTTCGGCAGCTCCTGGGAAAATAAAAAGAAGACAGTTGGGCAAAGTTGCACAGCATAATAGAGTGTCACAGGAAAGAGTCCTAAAACTCAGAAATCAGTTGGCATTTTTGCACTTTCGGTTTTATTGTCCTGAAATCAATAGGTTTTTGAATGGGTTTATGGTTAAATGTCTGTAATAAGGTCAGTGGTTAACAAGATATTTTTTATGATTTGTGAAATGAAATGTCACAAAATGTTTTTATGAAATGTATCAGTAATACTCTTGGATTTTTTAAACTCTTTACATGTGAAAAAGATGGTTGCTAACAAGTGGATAAATAGGACCATGGCTAAATGGAAGGTTAGGGACATTAAAAGTCATCATGTCGAATAGGTAAACTCAGAGTCCACTTTTACCAACACGCTGTAAACTATAATCTTGCAAACTATTCTAACTCAAAATGTCCAACTTGTAGATTTTAAATAGTTAAAACAGTTATTGGAAGCTTACTGGTGGTGATATTGAAGTTGTATGACCATGTTGTAGTTTGTTTATAGCCTAACAATCTGCTGATTGGATTTTTACTTGTCGATTGTAATTAGGATTGTATTTAAAGGGGTCATGAACTGACAAATCAAAATTCCCTGGATCTTTTGACATATAAGAGGTCTTTGTACTAAAAAAACATCCTGTACGTTTCAGAACTCAAAACTTTCTCGTTAGTCTAAAAACAGCTTGTATTGAAGCCAATCTGCCAAAACGACAGGTTGTGGAATGTGCCACTTTATGAAGTATTAGTGTGGCTAAACACCGCCTCCGCAGAAGAAGATCAACGCCTGCTTCTACATCACTGCCTGTTTAGAAACCAAACGATAAAGATGCTCCGAAGACAACAAGACGCCGTGCAGTGCCAAGTTGTGGAAAAACACAGTCTTTGCAGTGCCTTCCTTCTGATCCCAACATTAGAAAAAGAGTGGATGAACTTAATTTTTAATGAAGTTCCAGACTGCATCAGTAAGAACTTCGTGCTTTGTTCACTTCATTTTACTGTGGATTTGATTACAAACAAGGCACAATTTGACGCAGTATTTTCAGAAAGATTGAAACTAAAAGACGATGCTGAGCTGACTAAATTGGATCCGACAGTAATGTCACACCACACAAGTGTGAGTAACTGTTTTTATTATGTGGTCATTATTTCTTTGTCTGTATTTATGCATTTTTAACCTAAATCACAGCAATCTGTGAAGGATGTAGGCTCTCAAACATACACAACTGTTAGCCAATCATAGCAGTGGGCGTTTACTTCCAAGTCAACAATCCGCCACGCTTTTTCAATCAGAGCGTTCTGATGAGGGGGGTCAAAACAGGACAGAAAATAGCCTATAACTTCTAAATTATGATGTTTTTTTATGTAAAAATCTTGATAATATTATAAGTGGATGTCAGAGAACAGCACAAAATAATAAGAAAGGCAGTTCATGACCCCTTTAATCTTCATTTGTGAATATTGAACAAAACATGTATGAATCATAACTCTGGTTGGTCACAGAGTTTTTTTTTTTTGTTTTTTTTTTAGGGAACCAGGGTGATGGTAACTTCTAGGTTGGCCTAGATTTGTATTTTTTTTTTATCTCTGCAGCACTCTATTCAGTTATACAAAAATTTGATACACTGTAAGGCAGGTCAAAATAAATTCTGCTGACAGTATTTGGCTTGACCAGATAAGAAATGATCAGATAGACAATGTACCTGGGGAAAGTGGAAGGTTAGGTCAGCAGTTAGGTCTTTTCCTGGGATCACATTAAACCAGAGCTTCCTCATGAAGAGCACCAGGTAAGGGACAATAGCTGGAGTAGCTGTATTCAGGATCAATAATATTTATAGTGAGTGAGAGTCTGATTTTAACGCACCAACTGAATATTCATTGGGTTAATTACAGTAGTTAGTATGTTATACAGCTCACCCTCCTTGACTTTCTTTCCTTTTTTGACGACATCTGTGAGTTGCCTGAGGTTGTCAAAAAAGTACTCTTTAGAATCCATACTTACTACCTGAAAGAATCAGATATGACCCATGAAGATTAGCATGGACCTAAAACAACACCATCAGGAAAAATAAAATGACTGAAAGAAATCATGTCTGAAACCTTCGTCGATGTTTTAACAAACAGACTGTATCCATCTGATGAAGAGAGCCGGAGGTCTTTGGCAATGTTGCGGCATAAATCTTTGATCCTTGTGGTGGTGGTCACCTCAAATATCTAAAATTAAATAAAAAGAGAGGGTTTTTAACATGAATGGAAAAAAACAATGAGTAAAACTGTTTAAACTGTAATGTCACTCCTTACTTCAGATGTATCGTTGGGTAAATGAACTTTATGGAAGATCTGAGTACTGTTATTCTGAATGGCGTCCACTTCCACCTGGTGAGGAGGCAACTTCCTTCCCTCAATACTGTATGGGACAATGAACATTGCTTTTTAGATAAATTTTAGCCCTCATGCTCTGTTCACTTTGGCATCTAATGGCTAATTCACACTACACCAACCAACACCAACAGACATGTTTGTTGAGTTTTGTTGGATCAGTGTGTTACCGCTGTGGATGCAGTAAAATTGGCTGTAGGAGTGAGAGTGTGTGTATGAGTATGTCCCAGCACCGGGGGTATCTGGCATAAAACCTGTGCCAAATGGCTGTGTGAATAATTCCACTGTGGCGACCCCTAACAAGAGCAGCTGGCATCTACGTTAATACTGGCATCTACGCTAACATTAGTCCCTTTCATTCTTATTCCGAGGTCACCGTAGCCATATGGATCCAGTCAGTATCCAGATCAGATGGTCACCGTAGCCACCCAGATCTAGTCCATATCCAGACCAGATGGTGGATCAGCACCTAGAGACGACCTCTACAGCCCTGAATGTCAGCGGAGACCATGTCAACTAGATGCGTCCCAGAGACAGATCCCCTGCAAAGACCTCATCACCTCAACGACCATCGGCACAAGACCATGGGAACCAGACAAGTCCTCTGCACCTGTGTTGCAGCCTGGTATTAAACCACGCCATGCTGGCTTAGTCAGGCCAGAGGAGAACTGGCCCCCCGACTGAGCCTGGTTTCTCCCAAGGTTTTTTCTCCATTTCTGTCACCGATGGAGTTTTGGTTCCTTGCCACTGTCGCCTTTGGCTTGCTTAGTTGGGGACGCTTGACTGACTGCACAGACACTATTGGAAGAGAGCTGAACTGGATGATGACATCACTGAATCATCAATTAACTGACTTTAGCTGGAAAAAATGACTCTGTTATTGTCTTCTTGCATTATTGACAAACTATTTTCCTGTTTGACACTGTAAAGCTGCTTTGAAACAACCAGTATTGTATAAAGCGCTAAACAAATAAAGGTGACTTGACTTGACTGAAGAGAGAGACAGAGTGTGTGTGTGTGTTACCCCTTTCTGCATCTGTTGCCGTTGTTGGTCAGTGTTTGAGTCTGTCGACTGAACAACTGAATTGAAGTTTGTCGTGTACTGAGAAGTGACATAGGCCACATTCACACAGCAGCAGAAAACGGTTGTCAGTCCTTTATTTGAGCCATTAATATAGTTGTGTTTACATTCATTATAGTTATTTATGGGAGTGACAACCACAATCTATAACCAAACTCAAACCTCTAAATTTTCAGGACTCAAAACCATATTTTCAGCGAAGCAACTGCAGCACATTTTACTGAAGTATAAAAGCTGCCATCGGTAAAATTAAGATGTGGATGAAATTGTGCCTCAGTTTAACTTCTGTCATGTCAAGACTTTGTAGTTTTGGACATTGCCATATTGAATTTAACAGGGATGAAAACTGAGGTATAGACTTCAGTCTTCACAATGGCATGCACTGCATAACGATCCAAGAAACTGTTTTATGACATTTTTGTCTGCAGTTTTTTTTTTTTTGTTCAGAAAGATGTTTCATCAGCAAAACAATCAATACATTGTTAAACAACAGTATAATCCGTTGAATGCACTGTACTTCTATCTCTCACAGCCTCATTTTCATTCCTGTCAAAAATTAAATATGGTGCCATCCTAACTAAGGTCTATACGGGATCGACTTTCATTGCATGTTCGTACACAAGTATTCAAGCCTCTATTGTAAGCTGCTGTGTGAACAGGACATTTCAAGAGTTACACCTGTTAGTAAATGCAGTTGTCAATCCCTAACGCTGACAGTGTGAATGTAGCCACACTATAATCTGGTGACTGTCTGTGTTGGTCAGTGTGTTTTGTTGCAGTGTGAATTAGCCTTAAGAGACAAACTGTTTGAGTATGTTATGTCCTACCTGAGCATAGTTTGCATCCTCTGCAGGCAGGTGGACGCCAGAGGCTCTCTGGTTCTGGACTCCAGAAAACGTTGAGCATGTCTCAGTAGCAACTGACTTGGAGGAAAGAGACCACAGCATAGCCACAACAGCTGCCAACCTCGCTCCATACTCAACCTGAAAGATAAACAGAGAGAAACAAACAAGACTTCAATTAAAAAGTAATCAGATAAAACAAACAAAGCCACATTAGACCATATTTGGGTACCAAAACGAAATGAGTTAAAACTAGGTGACAAACCCATGGTTGTTATTAGTCATCTGCTTCATTATTTGGCAGTAGATCTCATCTCTTAGTTCCACGTGTGCTGTTGCTGACCCAAAGATCTGGTTTGTTAGATCTATGGGTGTCCGCACATGCTTGACTGGATAATCTCCCATATATTTAAGGATAGGTAGAGACAATGTTAAAGAAAATGGTAATCGTCATTCATTAAAATTCACTCGGGTCACATGTACTGAAGTCTTAATCACTTTTATCGTAATACACAAAATACAACTTCCTTCATAAGGAACTATATTAGATATGTAACAAATGATTCAGTTTTTCATTTCCCTCCTTATTCAACCAATCACCCTGAAGGATATCTGTGAAGCAGTCAGAAGCGAGGTGGCAGAGCTCTGAGTTGCCCTGCAGGCTCCTGAGCAGTGGCTGTTTGAGAGGCTCTTTGCTGTTGGCCCACAGTCTCTCTTTGGCCACACCTTTTCCACGGCCACCTTCTTTAGACTCCCTGTGACCAATTGAAAGAGGTACAAGATGGCATGAGCACTGGCATGTTATCAAAACGGAGCAGTTATCATTTATATCAGATGGGATGTGTGCAAACTGTACATGTGTTACCTGAAATAATCAAAAGAGAACTCCTTAAGGGACACAACAGCAATTTTCTCTGTGCTAAGCTCCTCTTTCTGCGGCAACACCGGCATCACTGACTTTCTTCGTGCAGGGGTCAAATTCAGCAAATTCTAGAGGACAGAAATTACTCTTTACATTTATATTATTGTCAAGCATAAATTGATTTATAAAACAAAGCATATTTTGTGACCCTAAGAAAATAACCTTGCTGAGGGTTTTGAAAACCATTTTCTAATGAACGGGCATTAAAAAATCTTTAAAGGAAGTTTCTTTCATTCTTTAAAGGCAATTTAAAATCTTTAAATGCAGTTTTAATTCTTTAAAGGCAGTAACAATCTTTTAAAGCAGTTTAATTCATTAAAGAATCTGCCTTTAAATATTTATTTCCCAGACAAAACCTCAAAACACTGATAAAAACAATTGACATAATAATGGCCAGTGCTGAGGAGTAATTTCCTCCACAAATTAGTGTGAAACAAAAGAATCATGTTTACCAGTGTCTCTTCTGTTGGCCTGGTCAACATTGGCAAAATCCGAATGGCATCTAAGGAAACTGCTCCAGTTTGATTTGTCCTCTCATTCTTCGCTTTGATCCAGCCTTCTTCAGAAGAATACTCCCCATCCTTTATGATATACAGTACATCACCTCTTCTGTAGCTCAGCAATGTGGGATCCTCTGGAGGGAAGAAAAACGAAAAGATCAATATCCAAGCGATTTCGACCAGTTCAAGAACCATTTTATATGTAGAGTGATTCTTACATTTGACTTACATTTTAGTTTTAGGAGAGATTATACTAGTTTAACCCTTTTTATTGTCTCTTTAATTAATACATTTTTTTTTTTTTTTTACCTAAGTTACCAGAATGTCTGTATGTGGACTTAAAACTTTAGCTTTAACTTCCCCTCTGTAACTGTAATAAATGTAAAAAGAGCAAGACTGAAAAAATTGGTGTAGAAATAATTTTCACTCAGAAATTGCTAGTAAATTTAATAAATAATTACAAAGAAATGGCAAGTAACATATTGAATTAAATGTGACAATGTGATCATTTTATTTACAACTTGAAACCTATTTTTTACAGTGTACATTCACACTTTCTCATAAGAATTAAAAACATATTTTTTGATTTTGATTGTTAAATCAAAGGCTTTTCTGACATTTTCACCAAAAAATTTAATAAAAATGTATTACTCATACATACTTAAATAGTCAAAAGTGTCCTAAAGTTGAAAAATCATTTCAAATGTGAATACTACAAGTAAAATTGTAAAAGAAGCACCTTGTCTGATAAGGTCCTGTATTCCCACAGCATACTGTGATCTCTTCTTAAGCCCTGATATGAACAAGTTGACCAGCTCCACTAAGTCTTTTCCCTTCACAACCTGCAGCTCATACATCCCCTTTGGAGTCGTCAAACACACAATCCCACCAGACTCTTCCTCACTGTAGGAGAAAAGTTAAGAAGGGAAGGAATAACGGAAACGAAAAAAGAAAAGTCAACTGGTTCATCTCACAAACTAGTCTGAATCTGCAGAAATTTTAAGCGTAAGTACTTTATCAATGCTCAGATGTAATTCAGATGCTTCTCCGTGGAGGTTTATCATAAAAAGGGATGTTTTACCTCATTTCGATTCCTGACACCTCAGGATAAGAGAGCTGCAGAAATGCAGCTTCTGTCACATCCTGAAAGAAGACCCCCTTCCAGTTCACAACAACTACAAACTTGTCTTGAGGCACTGAGGGACCTGAACACATATTTTTCACAGTAACTAATACAAGACAACAATAAATTCACAAATTCAATGCATTAAAGGGATAGTTAACCTAAAATGTATAATTCTGTCATCATTTACTGACTTTAGAAACACATGACTCTTTATTGGTGGGACACAAAATGAGTTATTTATTGCCGAATGTCTCTTTTCAGTAAAATAAAAATGAATGGTGATCCCGACCATCAAGCAAGATTTTTAGTGAACTACAACTTCAATTTCAGTCTGTTCCTTAAACAAAACTCAAATGGCTTCAAAAGTCTTGGAGTCATATAGTGTACATTTATGATGTTTTTATGTGCCATTTTTATCTTTACAGCTTTGTATGGAAAAGAGCAGCGTGCACTTTCTTCAAAAGCTCTCATTTTGTGTTCCACTAAAGAAATAAAGTCATACAGGTCTGGAATGACATGAGGATAGGTAATGACAAAATGGTCATTTTTGGATTAGCTACTCCTATAAGAACTAAGAATAGCTTTTTTTTTTTTACCTGAAACAATTTGAGCTTCATATAACTTGGAGAAATAGATTGGCCACTTCTCCTGCGCATATTGGACAATCTCCGCTTTTACTTCAAAGGCAGGTTTAGTAGAGTTTATGTAAGAACCCTAAGAAATTACAAAGGATTACTGCATTGTTCTCCAAGCGCTAATGACAAAATCACATTTTGTCCAATCACTGTTGTGAACAATGAAACAGCATATACCTGTATATACATCATACCTGTGTGTGTGCAGAATGCACCATCTGCACTAGCTTGGCCACAGACTTGTTCTCAATTAAAGTCATGTTCATGCACTCACGGACAATCTTATCTGTGGTTTGCATACTGCTTTCAGAGCCATGCTGTACATAGTAATGTTTGGCTGCGAGCTGCACATAATCATCCTCCTAGATCAAGATTATAGGTCAACAACAGAGCATAAGTCACAAATCTCATTCCTATTCAAAATATATGCAACATGAACAGTTCAAACAAATAGCCTGGACTGACCTTATCAGACTGATAATCACCACTTTTGAGTCCGTGGATGGTCTGCTTGTAGATGAGGTCTGTGCTGACTTGGTCAGATGAACAGTTGTGCCATGGAGTGAAGATCTCTTTGCGAAAGTAGAGGCGCCAAGGAGCATGTTGTTCCTCTTTCCCCTGCCTCTTTTCTTCCTGCTCACACATAGACACGGCATCCAAGACGTGCTGACTGCCACTGCCAAGAGACCATATCTGCAGCAAGAGATGCAAACATGAAGACTCTATTGCTATTGCTCATTAGTTATATGTGACTTATTACAAGGTGCATCTTGAAGCCATTCAAATGTTACAAACCTTCTCATACATTGCAGCGTATAGGGAGAAGCCGTAAGTGTCCTGCAGCTTTATTTTCTGGATAACCGCACTGCACACTTCTGCAGAAGTGCTGGCTGAATCCACAGTGAGGCTGATGCTTCTGCCATCCATCAGACCCACAGCTACTGAAATGGGCTTCTTGTTCTCTACAGACTTGCAAGAAAGAAGGGCTGGTTATGTTTAGAGCAAGAGAAGTATTCTTCATAATTTCAGTCAGAGGGACTGCCTACCTGTAGTTCAACCCAGCATGGTGGCTCACTTCTTTCTCCATTGGCTAAAGTCCTCCGCAGTCGCTCTGCACAGTAGGAGGAGTATTCACTTGGTCCATGGCGTATAAAGCTCTGCAGGTACTGTGGCCAAAAGGTTGTGGAACATAACACATAGCATAATATATAACATAACATAAGATAACATATAGCATAGCATAACACAACACAACACAACATAACATAATATAACCTTAATGTGACGTGACGTAACAACACAAAATAACACATAGCATGAAATCAAATGTAATATAATGTATAACACAACACATAACAAAACATAACATGACATCATGACATAACACAACAACATAAAACAACAAACATTAGAAAACAGCATGGCATAACACAGCATATACCATAAAATGAGATGACAACACAAAACATAGCACATATAACACAGCATAACAACACATAACAACATAACATAATAAAATATAAAACATGACAAAACAACAAAACAACAGAAAATTCGACATATAAAAAAACATTACATATAACATTACATATAACACAACACATTAACATAACACGAAACACACAAAAAACATGCAAACACAGCATGACATATAACAACATATAAAATAAACAAACAAAATATAACTCATACCACAACAAAACATAACAAAACAACATGAAACAAAATATAACAGCATGGCAACACAACAAAACATAACATAAACCAACATATAATGGCATGACATACAACACATAATATAACATTACATAACAAAACATAACATTAAACAACACATCATATGAACAACAACACATAACCTAACCTAACCTAACGTAACGTAACATAACATACACTGTACCATATATCACACAGCTTGATTGGTCATTCATGGCATTTGTATTATGATTAAACTGTGTAGTTGTGGTTCTAAAGAACCTATTTTCTTCATAGCTGTGCTATGATATGATACAATAATATATTCAGCAGACTTTATCGAAAAACAAACCCTTTCAGGATGGTACACTACCCCTATGCTTCACATCAGGGTCCTGATCACCCTGTCAGGTCTAATTTGTGATAATGATTGGATAAATTCACATTAGCTCTTAAATAACAGAACAGAAATCAAAAAGTATTTCATACCTTACTGAGGCGGTCCGAAGGGGGAAAAATACCCAGACAGATGGACAGAAGAGTCCAGCCTCTGTTTGCACCTTTGTGGTTCTTATTGTCTGTTAACTGCTTAAGGATTTGACAGTAGATTTCATCTCTGAAAAACATATAAAGTCAAAAGATTATGTAACCCTTATCTCTCTGTATGAGAAATATACTCCACATTATGAAGAATGTAAATGACCAATGGCCCATCACATTAACCTTATATCTTGTCGTACAATAGCATATCCTACAATAATATGCAATTTCTCCAATGGTGTCATTGGGCGATCATAAGTTGCTCTCTCTCCAAACAGTACATCCTCTTCCTCCTGAACAGCCTGCATTTTAGGTTTTGGTTCTTCTTCTGGCTGCAAATTTCATCAGAATAATTAATAGAAACCTGCTATGATGCAGTTAGCCGTGAGTAATGATCAGTGATTTAGTATATATACACATTTCACCTCTTCTTCAGGAATGGTTGAGTGTTTTCTTTTCCCTGTCCCCTTCTGTTGCTTCATTTTTTTTCTCAAAAATTTCTGCAATTACAAGACCAACAAATGAATAAACCCACAAACATTTGTTTGATATAATATAATGATATAAGAAAAGCAACAGTCACATTTCTGTTGGGTTATTGACTATTTTGTTATTATATGACACCCGTAAGAGTATTTACAGTATTTAGCAGTTCTGTATTTATGATCCCCTTTGGTTTGCTTTAGTCCTTTGATGCATTTTTAAAAATTTTAATATTTAAATTTATTCCTCTGTATTCACATTAAAATGTTTATATTGTTATTTCTTGCATTTTTTTATTTTTTTTATTTTAACAGTTGCTCACATCTGGTTGTTTCTGTGGTTTTCACCTTCTGTACCACTGACTGTAATACAACTGAAACCTTTTCTGATTGGCTAGTCTATTTATTAAACATGTGTGTACATTAAAATATGTAAAGCAATACAATATATACTAATATCAAACCAGCACAAAAATGCATGTTGATCTAGGCAGGTCTTTTGAGCAGGGTAGGCAGTGAAGCTATAGTCAGAACATATGGTAGGTGTTAAGAAGGCAGTGTTTTATAGTGTCTTGATTGTTTACCTGATCTAATCCAACAAGGTTACTGAGTCGCCGTGCTTGTCTCTGACCAAGGTTCATCTGAATGGGGTCGGCTATAGCAGAAACACGTTCTTGCTTCGGCTCTGGAAGATCTCCCATAAACCTCAGTATGATCCACCATACTGTTAAACAAGCCTAAAGGGGGAGGGAAAAAGAAAACAATACAAGACAGTTGATTATCAAGCCTTGCTTTTAATGGGAACATGATGCTTATGAGAACAGCACTTGCCAGGGTATCCCCTTCATCTTCATGGTGGAGCAGGGGTTGTCGTAATCTCTGTTGGACATATGAGTGGGTAGAAGATCCTTGGAAGTGTAGAGATGCAAATTTAGAGAAAGAGAACTCATCGTTCTCCTTCTCCTTCTCCTTCTCCTCCTTCTCCTTCTCCATCTCCTTCTCCTTCTCCTTCTTCTCCTTCTCCTTCTTCTCCTTCTCCATTTCTTTTTCCTTTTCCTTCTCATCCTCTTCATCTTGATTGCGTTTGCTGCTGTCTGCTAATGACATCACCTTCCTCTCCCTTACAGGGTTCTCTACTAATTCAACCTCTTCTAACTTCACCGGCTCTGCCTCTAAATCCTAGAAGAACATCAGGAACAAATCACACAAACTTAATATTTACCTGACGATACTAACATTTTGCATTTAAAAGACATAATGTATTATCAATGGTAGCAAATGCATGAAATGCCATTAATTGATTGTGTAGCGACAATAAAAGTTGGAGTTGACATAGGCTTATTGGATAGCTGGAGTTGATATAGGCTTATTATTTTGAGAAATTAATTTTGATTAGGAAGTGTTTGTTCCCTTCAAATAGGTGTCCTGCTTCCTTATTGTGCTGTCAAGATGACTCTAACCTCAAAACCCTGAGGAGCTGGGCCCTCTTGTCCTCCTACTGCGCTCGGAAGGAAGCCAAAGATATTCTCCACCATTTCCTCATCATCCTTTTTCTGGGATTTGGCAGCTTCCTCATTTTTTCTGAGCAGCTCCTCTAGGCGTTGCTGAAGTTCCAAAGCTATACGTTCTTGAGCCTCTTTTTCTTGTGCAGTCAAAAACGCCTAAGACAGAACAAGGGTATGAATAATAAATGCTTAAAATTGTTTTTGTGGAAACCATGATTTGTTTTTTTCAGGGTTCTTTGATGAACAGAAAATTCAAAAGAAAAGCAATTATTTGAAATAGAAATCTTTAATCTGAAGCATCATAAATGTCTTATAATACAACATTGTTACTTTTAATGAAATGAACGCATCCATGACAAATAAAAGTATTATTATTATTATTATTTTTAAAATCTTACTTACTCCAAACTTTTGAATGGTAGTAAATCATGGTTTCAACAAAAAAAATAAAATAAAACAAGCATCACAGGAATAAATTACATTTTAAAACATAGTAAAATAGAAAAAAGTTATTTTTGAAATGATTATTTTTTACAACTTATGACAAGAAATCCAAACATTTTACTGGTACAGGTATTGCATATAAAACAAAAACAAGACTTTCTGCAAAAAAGTACTAAAAACCAGGTAGTCTGCTCCATTCCACTATACACTCACATCTGTTTTCATTCTCTTGAGGGTTTTCCTGGCTAGCAGGCCTCTGGTCTGTGTCTGCAGGAGTATCACTGCATCTTTTTTGCGTTTCAGGTTTTTCCTGGCAAGGTAGCCACGGGTCTGTGTTTGCAGAGTGATGGCTGCAGCCCGTCTGCGAATATACTCCGTATGGAGCTGCCGACTGCGCACTTTTGCCTGCATCCGAGTAAATCCTTGTTTGAGCTTACAGGGAAAACAGAAACAATATGAGGCATGTTTCATTATTTCATTCAGTGGTGGACGAAGTACACAAATCAAGTACTTGAGTAAAAGTACAGATCCGTATGATAAAATATTACTCCAGTAAAAGTAAAAGTACTCAGTTTTCAATTTTACTCGAGTGAAAGTACAAAAGTACTTGATTTTTTATGTACTTAAGTAAAAAGTACTGATAGATGAATGTTTATTTTGCAGTTTTATATAGGCTACTTTTATCATTTAATTTTATATTAGCATATATTTTTTTTATAATC